AGGTATGAATGACCCCACAGGTTTCACAGGTTCTCGCAGGTCCACCGGTCGCACATGTCCCGCAGGTCCCGCAGCTCTCACAGGTCCCACAGGTTCCGCAGGTCTCCCAGGTCCCTCAGGTCCCACAGGTCCCACAGGCCCCCCGGGTCCCACAGGTCCCGCAGGTCCGACAGGTCCCGCCGCCAGCACAGGTCCCACGAGTCCCACAAGTCCCGCAGGTCGCGCAGGTCCCACAAATCCCGCAGGCCCAGCATATCCCACATGTCCCACAAGTCCCACATGCCCCACATGTCCCACAGGTCCTACAAGTCCCGCAAGCCCCGCAGGCCTCGTAGGTCTGGCAAGTCCCGCAGGCCCCGCAAGTCCCAGTCCCCCCAGGTCCCACATGCCCCGAAGGCCCCACAGGTCCCACAGGCCCGATAGGGCTTACAGGTCCTACAAGGGCCACGGGGTCCGCAGGTCCCGCAGGTTCCGCAGGACCCGCAGGTCCCACAGGTTTCGCAGGTCGCGCAGGTCCCGCATGTCCCACACGTCCCACAGGCGACGCATGCCCCACAGGCCCCTCAGGCCCTACAGGTCCCACAGGCCCCACAGGTCCACCCAGCCCCTCCGGTCCCACAGGTCCCACAGGTCCCACATGTCGCGCCGGTCCCGCAGGCCCCGCAAGTTCCGCAGGTCCCACGGGGCCTACAGGTGCCACAGGCGCCACAGGTCCCACTGGTATCGCAGGTCCTGCAGGTCCCACAGGTCCTACGAGTCCCTCAGGTCCTACAGGTCCGACAGGTCAGGCAGGTGTCGCAGGTGGCGCAAGCCCCGCAGGTCCCACAGGTCCCACAGGTCTCGCAGGGACGACAAGTTTTGCAATTTCGAAGGCCCCACAGGTCCCACCAGGCCCACGCGTCCCACAGGTCCCAAGGGTCCCACAGGTCTCGCAGGTCCCTCAGGTCCCACAGCTACCGCAGCCCGCACAGCTCCCACAAGTTCCACAGGGCTCACGCTCCCAACATTTCTCCCAATTCCGGCAGGTTCCACAGGTCCCGCAGGTCCCACAGGTCACCTTTGGTGTTATTAAGATGGTTCCTGGGGTGATGTTTGCAAGGCGAAGGCGCGTGTAATTGCATGCGCTGCGCGCAGTGCAGAGTGAACCGTGAGTGCAAGTGCGAAACGCTGCCATGTAAATTTGGGATTGCGCCCGTCCTGGAATCTTTTTGTGAATTGTTGACGCTTCGCGTATCCCCACCAGCCCATCCAGAAACGATGCTCAGGGGAGTTGAGGTGATCAGGGAAGTCGGGGAGCATGCAGAAGAACAAAGGGCGGGGGAAGCTGTCACAGACCCCGAGAGGGGGAGGATGGAAGAGGAGTCGTCGTCGTCGTCGTCGTCGTCGGAGGAGGAGGAGGAGGAGGAAGAGGAGGAGGAGGAGGAGGAGGAGGAGGACGGAGAAGGAGGAAGAATCGGAGGAGGAGGAGGAGGAGGGGAAGGAGCTTCTTGGGGGTCTTTTGAGGGCCTCTTGGAGGGCTTTTTGGGCGCCTTGGGGCATCTTGGGCGCCTCTTGGGACCCTCTTGAGGCGCTCTGGGGAGCCTTCGGGGCGCTTTTGGGGCCATCTTGGAGGGAGTCGATCAAACAAGAGGGGGGGGTGAATTAGCGCCCCCCCTCGGAAGCCCCTAAAATCGCCTCTTGGACCCCTCTTGGAACGCTCTTGGAGTGCTCTTGGGCGCTCTTGGGGCCGTCTTGGGGCTCTTTTGGGGCTCTCTTGGGGCCCTCTTGGGCCATCTTGGAGCCATCTCCAGGCCTCGGATGGCCATCGGAAGCGAAAAGGCGAGAAAGCAAAAATCATTGATTTTCCTTAGGTTTTGGGACGATTTTGGCCTCTTCGGGGCCTCCTTGGGGAGCTGTTTGGCCACTTGGAGTTATCTTGGGGCCGTCTTTGGGCTTCTTGGAACCATCTTAGGAGCCATCGTGAGCGATCTTGCGCTATCTTGAGCCATCTTGGAGCTCATCTTGGGTTCTCTGAGGCGCTCTTGGAGCCGTCTTGGGCCATCTTGGACGCTCTAACTACCCGCGGCCCCCCCCGTCCAGGTCCAGGGGAGGGGGTAGGGGGAGGGGTAAACCCCTCCCCAAGGGGGAAGAGGGAGGGGTGGAAGAGGATCTGCTCTAGACCACCTACGCCCAGAGGGCTGGTGGGACTTGCGGTTGCGGTGGTTTCCATCGTGGTCACTGTTTCCGAAGGTCACTGTGCACGACTCCAGGTCCACGTGGCAGGGGCAAGAAGGCAGTGGTCGAACGTGGCGTTGACTTACCCCGAAATGTTTCGAGGGCACGCAGCAGCCGTCGCTGCCGCTGCTCTCGATGACCTGCACGCGCGGGTAGATCACAACTGCTTCTCACTCTTCGCCGAGGAGCACGCGGCGTCCTCGACTTCTGTTGGGTAGGCATGCGGAAATGGATTCGAAGCGAAGCAGACCCATCTCAGAAGGTTCGGATCACCTGCGTCAGGCTGGCCCTCCGAGGCTTCGAGGACGCCGACGCCGATCCCATCGCCACGTGCGCAGGCACCTCATCGCGACTCCCAGCGCGTGACGGTCTCCGAGGCTGCCTGCCAAGGATGGACGGTCGATGCGTGGGGCGTCAAGAAGTCCTTTTTGAAAGGTGTCAGCTACCAGGAACTTGCGGAGGCAGCAGGTGAGGAAGAGCGCGGAATCAACTTTGAGCTCTCCCTTGATTCCGTCGCAGTCCTGCGCAAAGTATAGGGGTGCGGGGACTTCGAACCAGCACTTGAAGTTGCCCACGTGGGAAAGCCAGGTACCAGGTGCAGAGGTGCCCCGAGATGCTGGCCCATCCAACTCACCAGGATCACCAATCATTTGCGCCAGACCATCCCTGCACTTTACGACGGCGAGTTTATTGCCAACACACAGGACTGGCGAGCTCGCTCTACTGGCCACGACGCGTCGACGACACCAAGGTAGCAGGATCACCCCAGGAGAAGGCAAAATTACGTCAGTGCCTAAAGGGTGCCTTTGGTAAAAGTGAACTGGATGGTAGTGAGGGGGCTTCAACGTGCTGCGGGGCATTTTACCACCTCGCGCACAAAGGCGAATATGATATTCAGGTTCTGAAGCCGATGGGATGCGCTAAACAAGCTGGCAAGCCCAGATCCGAGCTCGCCTCAGAGAGCCTGGCCAAGCTGTGCCTCAGCCGGCTTATAGCGCTGGCCCTCGTTTTCATCGCGCGGATCGATCTGCGCGTCTGCGTCGTGGCGCTTCAGCGCCGTGCAGCGGTGCCAATGCGCGGCCGCATAAAGGAGCTCAACGCGCTTGTGAGATGGGTGCGGGCCACACCAGTGCGGATCCATTATTCACCTATGCGTTGCGCGCGCAAGCTTGAAATCCAAAGCGTCGCAGCATTCCGAAAGGAAAGGGAGGGAAGCGCCGACCCCGGACGGGCCCTGCGAGGAGCCGCCTTCCTGCGAGGGGCGCCAGCAACACGGGCACTGAACGAGCGTTCGTTGGCAGTCAAACGTATCATCTATTGGGCTGGCAATGTGGAGCGTTCGTGATGGCTGCGCGAAACACTTTTACAAATGAGCTGATGGCCGCGATCAGTTCAACAGATAATGGCCTCGCTCTGTCCACCGCGCCCCACGAAGTACTTGAAGGATTTCGGGGCCCTCAAGCTGCGCGCCGCCAGCGAAGCGCGCAGCAGCCGCTGGCGCAGAAAATTGAGCTCTGCCCCGATTCAATGGGGGTGGTCAGAGCCGTCGCCTGTGCGAGAGCCAAGCCCCCGGCATAACACTCGTTACTACCGCGTGTGCTCTGGCGCCGCGACCTCCTGAGCCCGGGCCAATTTTGGGCCTTGAGCTTGGAAGACACCAGTAATAGGATCGCAGAAGGACCGACCAAGGGCAGCGTAGATGGATCTGCCCTCCACGACGTGTGGCTCTCGCCAGCGGTCACATATACCGTGCGCAGTCACCCTCGCGTCGGCTGGCAAGCTCGTAGTGTTCTCAGTCCATGTGCGCCAGCCGATTTCCGACAACTAATGCGTATCACCATGCATATAGGAACTGCGTTGTGCTCCATTTCATTTGGAGCCACCAGTCCTTCCTAATCCTCATCTCTTTCGGAAAATCTGTCACGTGGTACATGGTGTCCACGGCTCGATCGTGTAGTTGTTACGGTCGCGTCAGGGCCCGACTGACAGAGCCTGGAGTCCGTTGGCTCCGCTGCTGGATTGTGTCATCGGCAAGGCCGCGTGGTGGTCCATCTCGAGCCAATGCCTGATTGGTCGCGTTGCGATGCGACTCGATCGTGGATTTACGCCGGTCCTCCTCCTCGTCCTCCTCCTATGCAGCGCAGCGGTTGTGGCGAAAACCGTCGTGACGCATTTTCGTGGAAAGCGGAGCAGGAGTGGGCGGCGCGGACGGCATACTTTGGGCGCTGGGCGCCTTCCGCTTTGGAGCTGCCCGTGGGGCTTGTCGACAGTGATGTATCATGGGAGCTGGCATGGGTGGTGAAGCCGCGGGGCAGGCGACTAGGCCTGCAATCTTCGGCCGCCGTGGGGGTCGGCAGGATGGCCGACGCCTTCGGCGCCTCTCCAACCCAGCTTGCCAGCGGCAGACGGCCCCTGTTCCGCTCCCCTTCCTGGGAGGCGTGGAGATGGCCCCCTGACTCTGCTGCTCGAGCCGCTGCAAGACAGCGTGTCCGCCGGCTCCAGTCAATCGCACACCTGCTCCGACTGCTCGAGCCGATGGTGAGGTTGGGAGATGGTGGGAGGTTGGGGAGCCAGACGCGGCAGCCGAGAACAAGGACCCGAGCCAGTCACTGCAAAGGATGGCGGCGGAGGGGATGGAAGGGAGGCGGAGGCGGGAGGGGAAGGGAGGGAGGGGCAAGGATGTGAGGGAAGGGGACGGGGAAAGAAGGGTACGGAGGATGGGGGGTAATGCCGAAGAGGAAGGCGACGCAAGGAATGCCCTTCCCCTCGCTCCGCCCTCCTTGCAGGAGGCCGCTGCGGTCACGCGCCCAGTCCAGAGGGGCGAGATCAAGCTGAATGGCGCGCATAAGGACCTTTGCGTCGGCTCCGCCAGGGTTCGTGCGCCTCGCGTCTCTCTTGATCGCCCCCGAGGGCCTCGGTGACGGCGTGTGCCGGCGGGGCCTTGCGGGGAGGCCATATGCGTTTCTGGTGGCCCTGGCCCAATGTGGTCTCAGCTTGTCCAGGGAGGCCGAAGTGTCCTGCAGAGCACTCCGCGCGAAGCCCAGAGGGGCGCCCGAGGGGCTCTCCAAAACGGCCCAAAAAGTTGGGGGCACCCGCGCCACCTCTGGCACACCCCCGAGCTTGTGCGGTGGGGGCGTGAGCTTCTTGATTTCAAGAGGCCTGTGATGAGAACCTGAAGGTCCGGGGACCCCGAGTTTCTTGCGGAGGCTTCTCGTGGCCGAAGTCCTCGCGTAGTGGCCACCCGGTGCATGATCACGGGGCCATCTCGATGTCCACAGCGCTTCGCGGCACCACGTCTGGGCAGGCTGGGGCTCCACGGAGCAGCCGAAGTCAGTTGGGCTCTTGTGCGCCGACGAGGGGCCGCATCGAGGCCGTCCTGGGCATGATGGGCTCTCTGGGGCGCTTTCAGCCCTCCTCAGGGTCAGGGCCTTCGCAGCTGTTTGGTGGCGTCCCCATGGCCTGCCGCTGGTCCCGCGCAGGCTGAGCCGTCTCGTGCCCGCCTTTGGGGCCTCCTAGGCCCCTCCTGGGGAAGGTCTCGGGCCGTCCTGTGGGGGCCTTCTGGGCCGTCTTGGGCGCTCTCAAGACCGGATGCTCCTCCTTGTTCTCATCCTTCACCTTGGCACGCGTCCGCAGTGAAACAATTCATCAAGAGAGTATGTAATAGTTGCAGTCAGACTCCCATCCACAGAAGTACTGGCTGAAGGAAGCAAGATGCTTTCCCTGCTGCATTGTAACTGACGAATCCTGTTGCCTCCAGCGCTTCTCAGCGTCAAAAGGTTCAACAATAGCATATGTATGAGGAAGTACCAGTGCGTGCAACGTGCACCGATATCTCGCTCCTCGCATATCATATCAATAAGAAACCAACCAAGTAGTCACTCATACTCCATTCCAAAAGAAGAAACTGCTTCAGCTGCCTCTCCAACTGATATCTCAAAAATAAAGCTGCCCTCGCATACACTGCCAGAGCCCACCAATATGACAAATAAAATAATCACAGCTCGAGCCGAGGGGGAGCACGCTCCGTCGCGATTAAGGCATCGTGGCCACCAGTAATGGCCCTACGGGTCCTCCCCCTCGGCTATATTTCATACATGCATCCAGCAGCCCAGATGCGTCCAGCAAAACCAGTCACACTGCCACCCCTACGCGCTGTTGTCCTGCGAGCGACATAGTCCAACAGGCAGGTGCACCCGAGGGGTGGGCAGTGGCTGTGCGACTAAACCAGGTGGTTAGCCTGGATTTTGCGTCCTAACGCCCTCCACAAAGAGCGGCAGTAAATTGCTGAAATCTTCTGGTCGGTGCCGTGGAGCCACAGAGAGTACATACTAATTCCTTGTCCTTCTGGTCCGCTCGATAATGTGTGAGAACGTGACAACGGTTTCCAGGAATTTTTGTCCTCTTGTTATGCTCGTCCACCATGATAACGTAGTCGGCAGCGGTACGCTTCTTACCAAGACGTGGGCCTCGTGGAGCTCCAGGTTGGCACAGAAGGCGCGACCATGAGCCAAGCTGGCTCACCTTCGACTCGAGCTTGCAATTGATGCACACCAGCTTGGCAGGTTGATCTTTGTTTGGCCCCTTCAACGGGGCAAGTACATGGTATCCCTGTTGGCGTGCTTCGCGATTATGCAGAATTCTCTTCTGCTCGTTCTGAAGATCTCGGCCTGTGAGGCCCTCCCAATCTTTCTTCTCATCGTCCGTCCACGTGATGGTAGCTCGCATGACCTTGACAGTAGTGACATGATGAGCCCGTCGCACCACCGAGACGTGTTCAGTTGCAGCAGCGGCCTTGGCAACAATGTCGCTTGGCCTCACCGTGGTTGACAGGTTCTCAGCTAGCTTCGGAGGTTGCCATATGGGCTTGGGTACCGAACCCCAAGCTGGCTGCACTCGAATTCCTTTTGTCTTCTCCGTCGTCGCCAAAACCACAGCGTATAATACTCGCATCGTGTGTTGGTGATTCACAAACACTGCCCTGCACTTGAAGCCAGGTACTGCACGTATTCCCAGTGGTGATAAGGCACGAATTTCTTTATAACATTCACGTGGTCCCAATTTGCACTTGCACAAGTAGCTCATCCGAGTAGCAGCTGTCGAGAAGTATCTCGCCATGCGCTCGAGAGTAGCAGTCTGTGGATCTTCCGACGGCGTAACCAATGGTAAGCCAGTACAGATAGTGAAGTCGATCGCCAACTCCGCCCAGGAAACGGACATGGGTGCCATTGGTGTGTCATCAGCAGCCCATCGAAGTTGCGAGAAGTACCAAACAATCGCAGGAAATAAAGCTTGTTGGTAATACCAATCCTTGCCAGTCAATATTTCTGGAATCTGCGGTTCAAACTCCCACTCTGGCAGGTTCACCTCGACGGGGTCCCATGAATAACCAGGAAAGGCCATCTTCGGACTCCAAGTCAGGGGATTAGTAGTCATCTGATCCAAAGCTGGTCGTACCCACGTGGAGCTTGACGACGCTGCTGTTGCATGGTCCCCAGCTGGTCGTGATGATGAGGCTGGGGTTGTCGTTGGCGATGCATCTGTGGTACACGATGTCGTAGCAGGTTGCGGTGTTTTGCTCCTCATGCGGCGCATTGGTGCTTGTACAGGTCGGTCTTGACTTTGACAACTGCTGGGGGTGTCCGCAATCGTCGTAGCTGCAGCTGTCGGGCTGGCAGGTTGACCATCCTGTGTCACGGTCGGTGTGACAGACGCTGGCGAAGCCTCGTTCCTGTGGACCAAGGGTGTTGCAGCTCGCTGTTCACTCACTTCATTCGTCCCGTCATCGTCCATGCCGAGATGAGCCCAGGGATCTTCAGCGTCCTCATCAGGCCATTGGGGGTCTGCACCTTCCAGTTCGGCATTTTGCATAGCTTGGGCTTGAGCGCATCGAGCGTGATGAGTATCTCTTCCCATAGCCTGAAGTTGCTTTGCACGTGCAGCCAAGACGATCGTGGCTGTGTGCTGCAGGGTAAAACATAGATGCTGATCTCGCAGATGTTGGTGTCTGATGTCCTCTGGCACACTATATTGGCGCGCAGCTCGGACAGCACTGTCATCTGCTCGTTTGTTAGCCTCCCAGTCAGGTAGGTCCTCTGGGGGTACTTCATCTTTTTTGCGGTGCGCTTTGATCTTTTCAATGCGGAAATATTCTGAACCTTTCGCTGCGACTCCTGTAGCAATAGCTGTCCACAGGTCTCGATGCTGGCGAGGCTTGATAGTCACTCCATTCAGGATGGCAGTAAAATTTCTGACGCAGTACGCACTGTCGGTGAGGTAGAGCTGCTTGGACCATGCCCAGGATACAAAGTGTCGAAGGGCACTGACTTCAGCTCTCTGCGCTCCTTGTGAGACGCTCCTCAGCGGGACAGAGACATTGCAGGGGTGATTCTCTCCATAATAGAGACCGTATCCAGATCTTCGTAGGCGTAGGTCTGACGCCTGCCCAGGGCAGGCTCCATCCCCAGCCACCACCAAATATCCTTCTTTCTCGCGCGTGGTGCTGTGCTCGTCTTGACCTGGCTCATAATTCCCATCTGCATGATGAGGGGGAGGTGGAAGGTCTGGTTCATCGGGCAGCAGCTCAGAAGCGAAATTGTCATATACTGGTCTGTCTGGACAGAGGCCACATTGTCGGTAACATACAGGCAAAGCCAGAATCTCCTCTTTCGTGTAGTGGTCGAGCAACGGCTGGCGCTGCTGGTCCCACTGCGGGCAGTGCAAGAGGATGTGATCCATATCTTCATCAGGATCTCCACAAAAAGGGCAATATCGATGATCACGTTGGCCCGTGATGTGGTGAAGTCTATGACCTGTCACAGTTGCTCCTTGGAGCAATGCTCGCAGAAAGGGTACTTGTTCTCGTGTGAGCTTCGGCACGGCAACATCCACTGCATCCAGTAGGAGTGGAGGCTGAGGCTTGACATTGTCAGGATTGTCCTCTTCGTCATCGTCAGGTCGTAAACTGCGTTCAGCTCGCCTAAGGATGGCCGTTGTAATATGATAATTTATGCCTTGCTTGGAGCCAAGCATATCCTTTCTTTCCAGCAACTGAGGATCAGTAGACCATACCCAACGACGTAGGTCTTCTCGAAGTACATGCTGCCACCAGCCCTCAGGATGCTTTGCCAAGTAGACTAGCTGACCATTTGCACGCTTGAAGTGATCAAACTCTGGCCAGGTCCAGCCAAGGTCGCTCAGAACTGTAAAGATGCGGCCAATAGGCCCACCATCTGTTGCACTGGTCGAACGCGTCTTCATAATCTCCCAGCAGGCTTTGGCGCGAGGTAGGAGGCGCGGTGCAGCTGGGCTTGTGAAGAGTCGCCGAACAACTTGCAGGGGTTGTGCTGTCGATATTTGAATTGGATCGAGGCAGTGTCCTTTGGTAATCAAGGTGAAGGTGATCGCTGGTGAGCGGTACGCACGACCCTTGTGCCATAAGGACTTCATCACTGAGCTTCTGAAATTCAGATGGTTATGTCTGGGTAGTCGTCGAAACTCCAAGCCTGGTGCTAGTCTAGGGAGTGCAGCCGTCGCCAGTAGCTGCTGCTTCCCTCGAAGTCCCACAGGGGCTCCTCCAGCACGGCGTGATACTCGGTATGCAGATTCATAACGTAGTCGGCGTTGTCGAGCAGGACACGAGCCCAGAGAGACAATCTCACCGCCTACCAATATGAAATGCCTGGTCATGATAGGAATATGTCCAGCCGCCCGCAGGGCGAATGACAGCTCGTTCTCAGCCTTGTGCGTTGTTGCATAATGCTTAGTCTTGCTGAGGTTCGTGACTGTGCCACTCAGGTTGTCAAACTCCAAGGATATACTGGTGGCACGCGTTGTTCTCGCAGCATGACCT